GAGCGCAGCCCATCTCCAGGAGTTTTATCTGACTGTACTGACTCTGCGACACAGACTCTCCGTCGCATTCTCAATCTTGAAATTATGGACTGAGTGTTGCTTGGGGAGGGGCTAGTAAAGAATAAATAAGGCAGTTATCTAGTTTGCAAGTATCTTTTTAGTAGATTGTATATAGGTTAATAAATCAGTCTTTAGCTTGATTGGTGATAGTTGGTTAGGTTTGTTGTGGTGGAGAGCAGCTTTGGTTCAACGGTCGAAGGGCTACAATAGTTGTTACAGTGGGCTGGTTAAACAATTGTGGGTAGATCAACATTTCAGGGTTGATTTGAAGTTGATTAGTCTTATGTGCAGACGTGGTTAAATTTAGTAGTCGTACAACAACATGGAGTTATGTTCTAGTGGAGGTCAATGGACAGAAGAAACTATTGCAGTATTCGGTATAATGGCAGTTCTTTGCTGAGTCCGCAGTATTGGTTGCTCAATGATCTTTGATGCTCTTGCTGATCATCACATTACCTGTGATGTTAAATTCTCGGTTCTTGATTATACTCTTCTTAATAGGTTGTTTTCCTTTTTCTCTCTTCATAGTCAGTTAGCTTCTGTGTTTGTCAAACATATTGTACATATACTAGAGCTCTGATTAGATTAGGTGGACAGCTATCTTTCAGACTTTTGTTTTATACACTGACCAAATTCTTGGCCCTCTGCTCTTGAATTTAGGATCCTTCTTTGCAATTTAATATCAAATCCTCTACTGTATAGAGTATTAGGTACCCCTTACTCCTTACAAACTTGATGCCTGAATTGGCTGGTCAGTGTTCATTTCATCTGTGTTCTTGTTTTTTGTTTTTCGTTAAACCTTGAATAGGATTTAACTCATACTTTCCTCCTCTCAAAGTTGTTTTCCCCTTCACCATTTTCTGTTTTTTTGGAATGAAAATTGGTAAAGTGGGACGTAAAAGTTAGTTATATCCTTTTCTACTCCTGCTCCTAGGTAAGTTGCCTACTGAGCATTCCTCCTATGGGTCTAATTAGTTCTCCTTAGTGGTTGTTCCTCTCGTTTCTCTGCTAAAAGTTTCATTTGCCTCTGGAGATCGTTGATCATACCTGGCTGTTGACAAGGTAAGCCATTTCTCTTTTATAAAGGGACTGTCGTGTTCTTTTTTAGAATGATCTTCAGTTCTGTATCTTACTCTTGCTGTGTCTCTTATAAATTGTGTTTGCTGTTTTATTGTCTACAGGATCTTGTTTGGAGTCTGAAGAAGATTGTTGAAGAGGCTGTTCTCCATGTTTTCCAGTTGGTAGCGTTATGTCTCATTTCGTTGTGTCTTTAGTAGGGATTTTCTCGTATTACTTGCAAAACTCGTATTACTATGCCATGGTTATCTTATGTTTTGATCTGTGTTTTAAGTCTACTTTTGCGTTTGTATGAAGGACCAATGTTAGCCTTGGTAATATAGACAGTGGTAGTTGCTTTTGTTATTGGCTTTCCCAGATTGTACCTTTTCAGGGTGTAGTTTATGCTATGTTTTTTTCAATTGAATTGAAAATGTTATCTTTGATTTTGGGAAAGGACAGAAGATAGATTAGATTGCAATTTAGCATTTCATAAGTTCACTATCTGGAAGCTCATTTAATGATTGTGACGGAACTGTTACTGTCTGACATACTGCTACATATTAGCATTTCCCACTTTGCCTGGTTTCTTAATTCAACTAACCACCTTTGTCATCACCACTGTTGTCAACTACCATTATTGTCGTCTACCACCAATCATCACAATCACCTCTATTGCTAACTACTACTGTCAGCTGCTACTGCATACTGTATTTTTTATCGTTCGTTACAATTATATCCATTGTTAGCTGTCGTAACCTCTACCACCACTGTCTACCACTACTACTGTCAATTTCTACTTTCAACAAACTCTGTCATCATATCTAGCACCGCTGCCAACTACTACCACACATTCTTCGATCACTGCCACTGCCACTACCATTAGTATGGCTAATCTGTACTATCAATCACCCCCTCATCATAACTAGTACTGCCGCCAACTACCATAAACACATTAATCAACCACCACACATTCTTCAGCCATACCCATCAACACTATCAACTACCAACATCAATCAACTTCACCATTATAACTATGACATCCATTACCAATTACCATTATTATGACAGTCACCACGACACTAAGCACCTCCGTCGTCACAATAATCATCATCATTACTAGCCACTAAGAATAACTATTACCATTACCACTATCACTACTACTAATATTTTTATTTTATTAATTTCTTTAAAAAATTTAATTAATTTTTATTTAAATTAAAACCTGGTCGGGATCTTTTTCTGTGAATTGACATCTGAAATGACGTTAATTAATTAATTAAAATTTTGTTTTTTGGGTTAAAAGAAGCAGCGTGATTTGATGTGAGAGAAATGGATTAGAATAATTATTCCTAATGATCAATGGACACGTCAAAAAGATGAAAAATCCAAAAAGATATTGTCATACATCATCTATCACCTAACTATTTTTTTTCTTTAATAGGAGAGTAGATATAATGTATTCTTTTCTACCTTATCCAAAATCTTCAATCTCATTGTTGACCAGGTTTATTGGATAATTTTCTTTTTATAGTTTATCTAAGTAAAAAAAAAAAAGATGTGTGACTTGATGAAAGTAATAATCACAAATAATAATGAATATATGAAGAGTAGTATTGAAATGTTCTAAGAGTGCTCAATTTAGAAATTTTGCCAAAGTTCATAGAGGAAGAAAATAGTGAAAAAATCATAGCAACTAAAAAAGAAAGTAGTGCAAGCCTATAAGAAAGGAATAAGAGGAATAAAATAGTGCAATATTGAAACTCAATAAACAATAGATAATGATAGATATCAAAAGAAAGAAATACAATAATAATACGCCTAGTACAACAACAAACACCAACAAGCCTAACTAGACCAGCAGCCAGACCAAGAATGAATGTGTAATGATGGTGATTCCACACAAAGTGGGATTGTATATTAACTCAGTCTCCGACGAAGAAGGGCCCTAGAAAAGCAAGACAACACTCCACTATTTACTGACTTTCTACCCTAGTACGCGCCTTTCACACGTTCCTATCTTAGGTCATGTCCTCTGCAACATGCATCTTCTGAACATGAGAGTTCTTGACTGACCAACACTCCGTCACATACAACAAAGTCGGTCTAACTACCACTGTATAGAACTTACCTTTTAAGTTTTGGTGGTAAATTTTTATCACACAAGACTCCGAATTCAAGTCTCCACTTCATTCACGCCACATCAATATGATGTGTGATTTATCATCATCGATATCCCCACTTTCCTTGATTATAGATCCAAGTTACTTGAAACTATCTCTCGTAGGAATATATCTTGTGTTAAGCCTCACTTATACGCCTTCCTCATGCATCTAATCGCTGAATTTGCACCCTAAATACTTTGTTTTGGTCCTGCTTAATCCGAACCCTTGAGATTTCAGAATTTTTCTCCACACCTCCAACCAGGCATTAACTTTGTTGCGTGTCTCATTAATCAATACTATGCTATCCTCCAATAACATACATCAAGGCACCTTATCTTGAATGGACCGTATCAATTCATTCATCACCAAGACAAATGAGAGCAGGTTAAGAGCTGATCCCTGGTGCAACCACTGAAAAGTAGTTCGAGTCTCCTCACACCATTGTAACCCATGTTTTATCTTTATAATACATATTTTTTATCGTCCTAATGTAAGCCACCTATACATTTTTAGCCTTTAAACATCTCTAGAGGACTTTCCTCGGGACTTTGTTGTAGGTTTCTTTTTAAGTTCAATAAACACCATATGTAAGTCCTTATTCCTTATTCGATATTTTTTCACTAATCAATTGTTGGGTATTGTTTATCCTGAATTTCTTACCATAAATAGTCTTTCCTTTTAGAAAAATGTTTAGGATTGTCTAGTCCTTTTCTTGTAGCAACAAGCCAGGAGTAATTAAAACAAAATAATAGAGAGTCACCATTTCAATTCGTTCACGACTACAATCAATATTTTAGATAAGATGCCAAAGTTCTATCTCCTCGAGTTAAAAATAAATATGGAAAAGTCTCACTAGTCCAAAAATCATCATTCAAATTAAAGGAAATTTCTCTTTAACTTGATCACATTACATTTTTTTTTACTTTCTCCCTTTTAATTTATTTATTTGATTTTAATTTGATACAGAGTTTTAAAAAATAAAGAAATATTTAAAATTTTGTGATCTTAAATTAAAAATATATAAAATATATTAAAATGTTCTTTTATTCTTATGATTTTAAATATGCTATATAAAAAGTTAGAATTAAGAAATTATTAAAAAATATTCTTTTGAAAATAAATTAAAAAGAAAAGTAATACAAACGAGTTGAAACAAAAAGCATAATTTAGAGTGCTACTACAATAAAAACAACAATCAAATGAGAGGCAGATACAGAGTTGTGATACAAATGAATCTAGTATTTTTCACACAAACCCTAAAATAGTGTATATAAATCTATTAAAATTACAAATATATAAACCTATAATTTAGAAAATGTAAAAGTCCAAAGAGAGCATATTAACCACGGAAGTTAGATGCGATTTTTTGACCGGAGATCCATGGATCACAGATGATATCTTCCCATGGCCTTCTTCCTTCTCAAAGCTCGGACATCCATCCAATGCATTCTTTTCGATCTCTTGTCTTATGAAAACTTGCAAAGCATAGACTAGATAAACCGTATATTTCACACCAATCCAATCTTAACAAAAAAAAAAACTAAGTACATCCTTAACTGCCTTCATAAAACTTTTCAAATTATAAAATTTTATAAACCTTGGATAAATTATACACAACCAGTTAAAGAAGAGAAATTGGTATTCTAACATTGCCTGTACATGTACCATTTGTTTTGGGCTCTTCAACATCAGCTCCACATGAGTGACAAATCTTGATTATCATGAACAATCAGACAACTTCCCCAAAACAGAGCAACTTTCAACAACACAATTATCAAATATATGAGTTTTTTTGGGATTAGGACCATGAGTAATCACACATGTATAGTCCTCTAAACTCTCCATTTCCCTCAAACTCAATCCACCCTTTGATGAATCTTTATCTTCTTTAACATTCCCAAATGCCAACACATGAGAATCCTTAGTCTTGATACCAAAATCTTTAAGCTCTGTTCCAAACACAACCATTTTGCTAGTACTGTTAATATTCTCTTCATTCTCAATAGGGTCTAGCAGAGCAATTAGTTTAATACCTTCTAAAGTTGATGAACTCTTTTTGTCTTCATAATTTGCATATGATGAGTTTCTGTCATATCCAAAAGGGTTGCCAAGATTGAAGATTTGTTTGCTATCAAGAATGGATTTTGGGCTAATTTCAGAGTCAACAAGAACATCAGATAAGCTTCTGGTTAGAAAACCATTGAAGAATCTTGGAGAAGAAAAGGACTTGTTATCAGCCATGGAACTCTGTTTGCTGCTCACTGCTCTTCTTGAATGGTTCCTCAGCATCACCATTAACATTTGGTATATATAACAATTTTTTTTCTCAGAAAGAAGAGGAGTTTAATAGTAGAAGATGAATAAGCTAAAGATTATCATATGGTGAAAGTGCGAATAATAATAATAATTGAGTGAAAAAAAAGATGAGAGTTCAATGATTTATTTGAAGTAGGATATAGAGTAGGGACTTGATCTATTTGCCATTTTTAGGAAAGAAGTAAAGAAGCTCTTTTACGCATCTTTACGAATGGTTCGGAGCGAGATATAAGGTATAATCATCGTAAAAACAAAATGTAGGATTATTTTGTTCTGTATTTGATAGGAGTAATTAGATAATCCTGAAATTATTTATTTTACTATTTATACTAATGGAATAATTTATTGAAAAATAATTAATCTGGGTAACTTTTTCCTTACCAAACAACCCCTTATAATTTTAATGGTCATCTAAGTTTTGTCCCTCACTCCTCATTGAAATTGAAACGAAAGCGAAGGGACATCAAATTAAATTGAAGAAACTTATTGAATCTCTTAGTTTTAAATTTAAATTAAAAATATATTAATATATTTTTAATTTTATGATCGAAAATTTGAAACTAAAAAATTATTAAAAAAAGTATAATCATTTTAAAGCAAATTAGGAAAAAAAGGATAAATAAATTGAAATAAATAAAATAATAATTTTTTCTAATTCTCAAAGTAGCTTTCTCAAAAACAGAATTCCTAACTTCTTGTTCACGTTGTATTCATTGTTCCTCCTTTTTAATTAAAGTGAATTATTAATATATTTTTATTTAGGAAAACTTACATAAATTTCATTAATTTAGGAGTTGATTAGTTAGATACATTCTAGTTTGCAATATCAAGAATTTTATTAGATTTTGGGTGTTCAAATATGTTCAGATACATGTATCTTGGGATATATAAAGTCAAAATTAAGTGTAATTTGTTTAAGATACTCTGTATTCAAGTGGATTCACATGTATTTGTGATATATAACAATTCTCCTTTACAATGCCAGATACATGTGAATCACACAAAATACATATATATACATGTATTTAGTGTGTACCTAGTGTGATTCACATATAGCTACATGACTAATTCACTCTTCTCCCTCCCATCTCATTTGCTTTTCTCCCTATTTTAATGTACATGGTTGTAAAAATACATATATCTAGATGTATCTTCCTCAATATGTGATATAAATTAAACTCTTAATTAGTGATAAGATATATATTATTTTGAAAGTATAAATAATAATAATACTCCCTCTGTCTCATTTTATGTGGCATTTTCGTTTTTCGAGACTCAAACAGTTTAAGTTTGACCGAAAATTTGCGCATGAAATTTTCAATTTTTTTAAATGAAATTTATATATTTGTAAACTATGTAAAAGTAATAATTATATATCACAATAATTGATAATCTAAAATATTTAAAAGATCTATAAAAAACTTTCTATCAAAAATAGATTTGTTTGAATTTCCAAATGCAAAATCTGTCACATAAAATGAGACGAAGAAAATAGTATATATGATAGTGAAATATGTATAATTGCACAAACACATCAACCATTTCATAACACAGGAATTTTGTTACGTACTATTTATTTATAAGTTAAATTATAATATTTCAAACTTATCGGCTATTTATTATCAAATGATTAAAACAGACTTTATATATTTCAAATAATACAGAGATAGTTCTGACCATTTTCTCCAAAAATTAAAATGATGATAATGCAAATGTATTTTTGGTCTTGGTTAGACCCCACAATTGAATTGTTAATCTTTCACACTTCGTTCAACATCTCTTGAGTGCACGCACTTTGGAGACGAATTTATTGGGAGTCACTCACAAGAAAACGTCCGTTATTATTAGTAGAAATTACGTGTGAAGATACTTGAATGCTCTTAAATATATTTAATTATGTTGATTTTATGTATGGTTTTAAATGGTTGAACAAAACAGTTCATACTTTAATTAGATTTTTCATTTCTTTGCTCAAGGAGATTTCATTAGAGAAATTTGCTGTGACAGTCTAGCTTAAGATAAGAAGTCCCATATCGATAAAATACAGGAGAAATATTGGGTATATAAATAAGCAGACTTTACCTACTAGCGATGCGTTTTAAAGTCGTGTAGACCTAAATATAAACGGACATTATTACTAGCGGGCTGGATAGTTACAAATGGTATCAGAATGACTCCGGTGTGATGTTAAATGTTTTGCTTTGGTGATTTTTTTTCTTCCGATATTTTAAAATTTAAAGATCAAACCAATAATGTTCTTGAGGAAAATAACAACCAATACTCAACTTAGCCCCTCGTACTACAAATAAAAGTTGTTTAATGTACATTTACAATTCAATTCATAAATGAATTCCTTTGCTTCTAAAAAAACCGAAACTAGAACATACTATAAAACATCAGCTTGCAATTAATTCACTTAATTAGGAGAAAAATAAGAAATCAAACAACTTAAAATCAAATTAATTAACCACCTCCATTGCAAAGAAGAAGAAGAAAAAAAACATGTACAGAAGATTAGGTTGATAATTACAGTGTAACATCAATATGTATAGTTTTTTTTTCTAATAAAATTATCCTAAGTTAATAACCAAAAATTAAGGATGAAAGGAAAAATCTAAAAAATTCAAATGGTTTTGCACATATTTGTGATTTACAACAAATCTCTCTTGTCACTTTTCTATATATATGGTATCCCAGATACATGCGAATCACACTAGATGCATTTATCTGATGTGATTCGCATGTATCTGAAATACATTAGGACTCTCGCTCGCCTCTCTTTCTATTTTAGTGTATTTGATAGTAAAAATACATGCATCTAAGTGTATTTTTTTCAATATATAATAAGATAATTCTTAATTAATGATAAGATAGATATTTTTTAAAAAGTATAGATAATAATGAATTATGTCTGATTTATATAATTTTTCCTTCTAATTTTGCGAAGGTGTAGAGACTAGAGCCCACTGCATACATCATTTTGTTCCCACATTATTTCATTAGGTCCACATGATGATGAGTTATTTCTCCTCAAGAAAAAAGTGACCACTGCAACTATTTCAGTTTGGGTTTAAGTACACAAATGATCGACCTTAAACTTAAAATATTTAATATGGGGCTTGTTTAATTATTCTCTTTATCCATTTTTATTTGTCATGTTATGCTTTTCGAAAGTCAATTTGACTAATTTTTAAAATCAAATTAGATTACATTAATTTGATATTTTAAAAAAAAAAATTAGATATTCAAAAACTATATGAAAAGAACTATAAATTGCAATTTTTCACATATCAATATGATGAAAAAATATATCGTAAAATGTTAGTCAAAGTTCTTATAGTTTGACTCTAAAAAAGGAAAATATAACAATTAAAAGTGAATGGATGTAGTAGCATTTAATGGCTAATATATATATATATATACATAGTGTATAAGAAAGAATAATGTTGAATAAAGAGTATTAATAATGCATACATTATTAATGTTTGCTTATTATGCTGAGATTATCTTTTATATAGTATTTGATTTAGTATATTAAAAATAAATCATGTTACATAACTTCTATATAAAAATATATTTACAAATATACCCATCATACTCTTTAGTTTTGGAAAATAAAAGATATCTTGAGAGGGCTGGGATGTGAGGGGCAGTTATGCCATTATTAATTAATCTAATGCATGCGTTAAAATCCTCTATATTACTAATATATAAAAAATTCATAATTAGTAATACACATTTCAATACATATGGTTTATGCCACTTGCCAAATTAATAAAGGTTAGGGCATTTTATCCATGGGAGGGAAGCAATCAATTATGCAGAAGTCTCTTTCAAGAAAAGACAAGTCAATTTAGGAGCAAAAATGGGTCAAAAACTCAAAACCATCAAACAAAAAAAAGGAAGGAGGGTTCCACATTTTTTATGTCACTTAACAAACAACTTGAGGGTTCACAACACTATTCAACCATTATATTCATGTCACTTACTATTCAATGTGGGGATTCACATTATTATCCAACCATTAATTTCTTTTATTTGTAATTATGATGCCTGGTTCCTTTTTTGTCTTCTGAGAAGGATAGGTCATGCATTGCTAACTCACAAATATCTCAAGTACACAAACTTCATTTTAACCATAATCACCACCACACTAATCAAGAACAAATATATGTATTTTACTTATTAACTATGTTACTTAATTAAGGCAAAAAGTTAGACACCAAGTTAAATAATGGAAAAATTACTCCTCCGTCCACTTTTAATTGTCATAGTTTCCTTTTTTAGAGTAAAACTATAAGAATTTTGACTAATATTTTACAATATATTTTTCCATCATATTGAAATACAAAAAAATGCAATTTATAGTACTTTTCGTATAGTTTTTGAATATCTAAATTTTTCGATTAAAATATTAAATTAATATAATTTGATTTAACTTTGAAAATTAGTCAAATTGACGTTCAAAAAGCGCAACATGACAAATAAAAGTGGACGAAGAGTCGGAGGGAGTAGAAAGTAAGACAAGCATATAATATATATTTATTATACATGATTATAGTTGAAAAGAATTATAATTCACAACTATAATTAGGGATTTATAACAATTTTCTCTCTTCTTTCTCTCTCTCACACACATTTCTCCTCTTTCTGCCCTCTCTCGTTTATATCTCTCCTCTCTCTGTCCTCCCTCGCTAGCCTTTCTCTGCCCTCTCACTTCACGTCCTCTTTTCTCCCTTAATACAAATACAAATAGTAACAACTAATGATACAAATACAAATGTTAACATCAATGATACAAATACAAATAACAATTGTCAATTATACAAATTCTTTTAAGCGATACAAAATACAAATACACATGACAACAAATAAATACACATGACAACAATCAATAATACAAAATGCAAACACACAAGACAACAATACAAATACACATGACAACATATGCATACAAATGCAATTTATTACGAAATACA